TTGAAACGAGCTCATTAACATCCTTATAGTATACGCACATCCCTTCTTTATCTTGGCATTGGAAAATGCAAGTTAAAGCAGAGGTTGTAAAGGCTTTCTATTAAATATCCTAGACACAAGAGTTCTTTTTCCTCCTGACTTACCACAGCATCGTGCTGCAGGATTTTCTGCTGCTTCATCTCAGCCTTCATACCATCCTCTCAACTTACTCTTGTATCAAGGTAATGTTAAATTGTAAAATTACACTGACTTTTCATTTTGTTTTTTAATTAAATATAGTGAAATTGGATAAAAGGTGGCATATGTTTCCAAGGACTGAGACGCCTGTAAAGGAACCCTAAGTCTCTAAAGGCCCTCTCCCCAGCATGGCACTGAATAGCACCAATTCTGTTACAGATAAAGCTGTAGTCACTGAATTAACTGAAACCCAGCCAAAGCATCCATAGTGTATGCAGTCCATAGGGACACTCCCTACTGGGCAGACAGGAATCCTAGTCAGAAGGAGGTGTTATCTGGGACCTCTCACAGGACCACTTTCCTTTCCTTCCTTGGATAGTCAATATAATAAGGAACCATTGACCTGGTGGCTCTCATCACTCAACTGCAGCAAAGCCACTAACACACATCAGTCCAGGGAGGTGGCTACAGGGGCAGGCAGGGATGGCAGCATGAACAGCCTGTGTCATATGCTGGGTCACTCTGCATCATCAGAATGACCTGCTTGCAATAGGCCTCTGATTGCAATCCTCCTGCTAGTTGTAATTAAGGAAATTCTGTTGCATAGTACAGATACAATTACAGTTGCAGTACCTGCTAATTCAAAATTAATATAAATATAATGGCAAAATTTCTCCTATGTAATTGAATAATTACCATAATACAACTCCAGTAGAGCAAAGATCAGGGATGTTTCATGTCATCATCATTCAGCATCATCATCCAGAAGCCAGCATTTTAAAACTGTATTGCTTGTTCATACAACACACATCTTAGAAACAGATCCACTACAAAAAGTCAGTATAGAGGAAGTGATTTGAGAATCATTAAAAACATATTTTTTAGATGAACGGCCATCACATTATTACAAATAATCATTTTCCTTTCACACTAGTTTGTTTTTTTTTTTAACCTGTCCATGTTCCTTATAAAACATTACATAGAATTGTTTTCCTTAAAAATATGCGTTTCAGTAATGACACTTGCAAGTATAAATTTAGTGAGTTAAGATGTTAGACTGATGCCAGAACTGAGTAGTCATTTATTGAGAAAAAATATCAGGGCATTCAATATTCACCGTATTAGTTGGATAGTCCTACTGAGGCTTCTCTGATTTTGAATCATTCACAGCCTGTTAGTTACAGTTATTTCACATTTGAAATTTGAACTCTAGTCCTTTCTTTTTATTGGATATAGAGTTTACACAAACTGATGCTGTTCTCCAGTTAAAAAAAATGTGACCGTAATGAAAATGAGCTAAGTTTTGTACACACCAGCAGCAGTTCACATCTGTGTTTCAACAGGAGTAAATTCCTTATCTATAATACAATGTTCATGTATTAAGAGCACAAGCTGAAAGTCATCTTAGGATAATTCTGAGGAAGCAGTCCCGTCTTATAAAGGCTGTTATTCCACAGCTTTAAATATCCATGTAGCACACAATACCTCCTTTTGCCCAGCCTATGCAGTTATGTTTCCTTTTAGAGACAATTCTAACAAAACAGTCTTTGAAGGAGCCCTTTTCCTTAGGTGCACTGTATGTCACAGGTATCTGCCCAGCTCCTGTGAGGCTTAGGAAAGCAAGGCTGACAGCAGCCTTCAGTCCTCTAAGGTAATAGGAAAATCAAAGTATTTATAAAGTGGAGAGGGCAAGAGAAAAGGATAACAGGCAGTACTGAATAAGAAAAAAACAAAACAGTTTAAAGCAATTTTACAGGGAGTGAGGAGTGCCCTGGAGTGGCCATTAGACACACTGCAAGGAATTAGGCACATCAAAAAAGGGGAACATTTGCTGCAGATATTATGAGGTGGGAAGGATTGGAGGAGGTTATTATTCTTGAAAATACTTAATGAACTGGCAGATGGCCCTGTGATCAGGGCACAGGAAATCCAAATCCCATTTCTGCTGCGGATCTCCTGTGTGGGATCAGAGAAGTGTCCAAGATCACCAGCAGGAGCAAGGCAGAGCTGGCACAGGGGACACTGGGGTGGCCAGTGTCAAAGCAGCGATCAAAATCAATGGGAAATGCCTGTTCCAGTAGGGAATTCCTCTATGCCTCTTCTTGCATAAAGCCATCCAAAATGGGCAAGAACATCTGCTTTTGTTTTCCCAGTAAAAGCTGACACTGGAGGAGATACGCACATTTGGGAGGGGAGCACATTCCACAGTGGAGCTCTTTGTAATGCTCTTGTAACAATTCAAGACTGTTCTGGGAACATCACTTGGTGAAAGCTTACTGTATCCAAGAGGCCAGAACTGCCATGAAGGTGGCAGGAGAAGGTGTACTGAAGTGACAGAGGGCTCCTCTTGGCAACTGGGTGGCAAGGCAGATCGCGCCACGTGCATGGCCGAAGGGTGACTTGTAGGGACCATTCTGTGGCCTGACACTTCCTTCCTTTTCTATGGATACTTCAGGGAATTAGTTGCTCCATTTGCTCTTCAGGAAGACACTGCATTAATATGAAGGTGCAATGAGCTTCCACAGCAGGCTAGCCTTCAGATCCTCTTGCTCAGTCTTTGTGCATGCAAAATAAAATTACACCAAAATGTGAACTTAGGGCTAGAGAAAATACCAGGGTAGGAAACTAGGAGAACATTTCACCACAGTTAGTGTTTGAAAAGAAATGGTCAATGAAGGTGCTTGAACTTAAATGCAACCTATTTGTTAACAATAGATATGTTCAGCAGAAAGATGCAAGATCTCACATTTGCTGTCCTGAACTGTTCTACCCCAAACCACCCTTCAAATCATTTATGTAGAAGACATGCTTCAGGCAGTGCCAGAGCAAGACTTTGACTCACTGACTACAACTTTACCCATGTCCTAGACAGGTGCTTCTATTTTAAGGCTCATGAGTTGACAGACTTCCTATCTCTGTAATGCAGATGTTTGGGTCATTTTTAGAACATACAAGAAAAGAAGTATAATATTTTCTTAGAACAGAACTCTGGGAAAAATGTAATTTCTACTACTCTCTCAAAAAATCCTTCCAGCAGTTCAAATCTACAGCTAACACTGTAGAGGATCTGCTATTTCAAAAGAAATGTACCATATGGAAACAGAGTAATTCCAAAGACAAAGTGATGCCTAAAAAAAGTGTTTCTCCTTGTAACTGAAGTACTTGCTTCAAGACTAGAAATGGGATAGTTCTTGGAGGGAACAGAGAGGAGTGGAATGCAAATTAAAACAACTTAGTGAAAAAAATTAGTCAGTGTTCGTATAACTGCTCAGCTGGAATCACTGTAACTCATCCAGATTCTTCTAACATGAACATTTCTCATGAGGGCAAGCAGTATGGCCAGTATGGCAAACAGTAAATACCATTGGAAAAAGCCAAACTGCTCCTTACAGAGTTTTCCCCATTGAAGCTGACAATGAATAGCTGACCAGTGAAAAAGATTTTGCATTACTGATTCTACTCAGTTCACATCTTGAACTGAGCAAATTAGAAAACTAATAAGATTACAAATATATAAGGAAGCCCTAGTTACCTGGTTAAAGGAAAACCTCAGCATACCATGTTAATTCTTTGTTTCTACACTCTTTGATATATTTACACAAGACATTTTCCATAGTATTACCTTTTTCCAAGTGAAAGCAGAAGCCTCGTGCTGGCATATCAAGGGCTGGGCTTTTTCACTATGCTATTTATAGGATTTAGAATTCCACACAGTAGTAGAAACTTCTCCATTTCCTACAAAGAAAATAATCTTTAAAAATATAATGAAGTTTTAATCAACTTTTTGAGAAGGTGAGAGGAAGAAAGGAGCCTGTCAGAAATATCTCTGGCTGGTGGTGAATGTCTTCTGTCCCCTTTCAGGATGGCCTGGGACTCCTTGTGCAGCCGCGACTTACGGCGGCCTAGGATAAGAAGTGCCTCAAGCTGGATGCCCGACAGTGGGAGCAGCACTGGGACACCATCCCTGGAGGAGCTGCGGCGCCTGCTCTGCACACGCACACACCCCACGGGGCATGTGGATGAAGTCTGGCCAAACCTTTATGTGGGAGACCTGTAAGAGACAGGAAGGGCTGAAGGTTATTGCAACTCTTCCCCCAAATCTTCCACTCTTTATTTAAAAACAGAGAGCTAGGCAATAATCTGGGGACCTCTCACAACGGTCTAAGTGTTGAACAAGATTGAACTGTGCATAGGATGCTGTAGCATAGAGAAATGTATCTTGACTAAAAAGAATATCCGCCGCATTCTGGTTTCTCCTCCTGCATTAGTGCAGGAGTGACACACTGCAACAGCCCACTGGAGCTGTGACATTGGTACTTCAGGCAGTCATGCCAAAGCTGGGTAAAAGAGGATCAAGCTCATTTTCTCCTCACTTTGCCAGATGGCATCAGCCCTCTGAACGGATAAATACTCAGCAGAGGTGACTTGGTGAGGAAGTCCTTGAAATCAGAAAACCCTTAGCTTGTGCAGAAATATCTCCACCACCACCTTTCATGAGGTGAGAACCGTCTAAACGTATGTTTGGGAAAAAACTGAGGGAAATCTAAGAGTTAGTTTCTTAACAAGTCACTTCTGTCTCAAAGCATTCTAATGAATACTTTGAACCTGATCAACCTGTCAAAAAAAATAGCCACTACCACTTCTGCGGTTGTAACAAACTCACCATCAGCAGCATGTTCTTCCCTGCATTGCAGTGCAGCAGGCAAGTATAATTCCCCGTCTTTGTTCCAGGTACGTCGCTCGCGACAAGGCCCAGCTGAGCCGCATGGGCATCTCCCACATTGTGAATGCCGCTGCCGGGAGATTTCGCATCAACACTGGGCCCAAGTTCTACAGTGACTTGCCCGTGGATTACTATGGAGTAGAAGCAGAGGACAACCCAAACTTTGATCTCAGCATTCATTTCTATCCAGTTGCTCAGTACATCAGAGAAGCACTGAATTCCCCAAGAGGTAACTAGACCATCTGTGCATGTTGCTTATTTTCTGCATAGTAGACAAGCAGGGAAAGTTATTAAATATTATTTGACATAGACCAACCCACCTGCATGTGGGTAAGAATGCATATACTCAAAAAAAGTAGCATCCTACCTGCCTCCTGAACTCCTAGTGGTAGTTCTCCTGTTTCCCTGAAATAGGGAAGGATGCACTGAACAGGCTTTTAAAGGGGTTCTCCCTATGCCTAGTGTTATTCATCACCAAAAGACAAAATAGCAAGTGTCCTTCATTACCCACAGGGACATACTGACCTAGGAAGAGGCACATTATTTGATCTTTTCAAATTAGTGATGGGATTTAAAAATAAAATACAAGGGCAAGTGTTATATTTGAATAAGAAGATTCAACTATAATGCTACAAATCTGTGCAAGTCCTACAAACACAGAAGAGGGAAGAACTTGCTAGAAAGCAATTCTATAGAAGGAAGATCAAGCAACATCACCAGTCTGGAATAATGTCGTGTTGTTGCTAGAAAAAGTATAACTTTTAAATAGGAAGACAACCCACAAAATCCTCAGATTCACTTAATGCATGCCAGGTGCAACACCAGAGGCTTGGGGCCAATGGGAGATCATTACGACTAAGGGCAAGCCTTCACAAAAACAAGTCATTACTGTGCCACAAAACTGTACAGATACTACTCAAAAGTAAGTGATTTAGTAAGAGAACAATTGTATACTCAGCAAACCATTTTGCTTGCATCATGGTGAGCTTTAATTGCAATCAGGGCCCTAAAGTACTAACTACCCAGCTTAATTGTATGCATTGGTAGATCTGATCCACACCCTACGAGCCAGAATGGGGAGGCAAAGTAACTGCAAACAGTGTACCTTCGTGTTAGGTACCTGTGTGTTTCCTGCTCTTTGGAGGGCTTTTTCTGTTCTCTTAGGAAATATTTGCCCTTGTGCAACTTAGGGCTGCATTTGGGGAATTTGGATTTTCATCCATTTTTATTACAGCATACGCTATTTGCAATTGAAGTCATTATTGGCAGTGCTCCAGAGAAAGGTAAGATCCAAAATCTGTGTGTGTAAAAGCAAAGTTCCAAATCAATTGACAAAAGACAGAAAACAGCAGATGAATTGTAGAAGCCACAATAGCAAAGAAAACTAGTGCTTTGCAAAATGCATGCCGAAATACTAAGTTATGAATGCAGAACAAGTTACAGCTCAAGGCATATTTATCCCTGCTCCCATGCTTTTAGCACTGCTTTACTGAACTCCATATGGAAGTAGAATTCTGGGAATGGAGACAAGGTGAAATTTAATCATACACTGTCCAGCTGTTGCTGACATTCATCATTTTGAGGAAAGCGCAACAGTTTAAAAAATATATAAACAAGATGTTCTGGAAGCATAATTTCCTGAGGTACAGAAATTTAGCAGCTAAATACCCATGACCTGTGCAGGGATGAGACAGGGAGGGGATTGTTACTCACATCATTTAGAAGAAGAAAAAAAAAGTAATGTTTATTATAAGCAGTGAAATTGAATAACAAAAAAAATATACCAGGTGACAAGAGTCCTGTCCATATTAAATACAGGATGTAACAAGGTACTACTGCTTGGTTGAGAAGTCATTTAAGACTGCTGCTTAACTGTTACAAGCAAATTCAACATCGGTTTTTTTCTTTAATAGAAATATATTATCCTTTTTACCCAACAGGACAAGTCAAAGTTAAGACTGTATGAGGCACAAACATATTTAAATCTAAGAATCAAGTACTCATTAGAATTAGATAAGAACTGTTATTTCCATCATGCTTGAAAAAGAAATCTGATTCTTTATACCACAAGTCCAGAAAACAGCAGAGACACATTTATTCCAGATTTCTACCTTAGGTGAACAGAATATTATCTTTGGTGATGTAAAGAGTTTGTTTGTAAGGCAGTTTCGTAAAACTCAGGTGCCAGAGCATGAGCAAAAGGAAGAGACTTGCTCCTACTTAGGAGCTGTTCCTCTCACAGTGGTCATGGCTGCATCACATCCTGACTTCCTTCATAGTCTTTGTTGCAGAAATTAGACAGTACATGCACTTCTATTGCAGCCATACCACATCAGCATTGTTTTGTGATCCCTACTTCCTTGGCTGCCTTTCCTTCAGCACAGCCTGGCAGTTTCTTTGCCCATGTAACAGAGCTGTTTGGGAAGGCTCAGACAAGAGAGAACAGATGCACAATCTGTCCCCTTTCCTGCAAGGAAAAACATGGGAGTTGGGAAAGTACTAGCTTTCTCCCTCATGCTCAAGCTTAAAGGACAACACCTTGAATATCAATCTTGACCCTTTGCATGGCCACCTGTGCAATTTGCATTTCTCTGGAGTGCAGCTAAACCTAAAGTAAATCAGGAGGGTTTTGTGAAGTCTAACAGAAGGGGGAGGGAAAGAAAACTGGATGAAAGCATGTAATGAAAACTATTAAACTAAGACTGTGCTGAGAGAAAGATTCCCAAGTAGAGAGCTTTGCCTTTTATTGACCTCTGAACTTGTTAAAACAGGCAGGTTAAAACCACCCATTAAAAGCTTGAAATGGCAGACTCTCTCAAAGCCACTTCAGTAGAGCAAATGAAAAGCTAGGCTACCTCTCCTGTCACCTTCTTGTTGGTGGGAGTTATGAAAGCTGCTTAACTTTGGAGAAAAGGGTCTTCTTGCTTGACTTCACTGTAGGTGCATTACATACATCAGTCTGACCTCCCACTCTGCAGCAGATGACAGCTCCTACCTGCTCTGACTTGCCACTATTTAAAGCTCTCCGTAGGCTTCTTGCTATTTTCAGCTGTGACAAAACAGATACTGGATTAATCAGGAAATAGGCAGTGAATTCTGCACCTGGCTAAAACCTAACAGGAGATGAGAAAATAGTGGAACAAGCCTCTAGGGCCCATTAGCCCAGCTGAGCTCTCCTGCTGAGCAGAATACTTCAGCTGGATCCAATGGAGTGAGGGCAGCTGGGATGCTGACTATGGGTGACAGATCTGGAGCCTCATCTTAAGCCAAATTGAATCCATCCTGCAAGAAAGCAAGGGCTAGTTTAGGACATTTAGCTCATTTAATGATGATTAGCAAAAGGACAATAAGTTATTATGTGTTTTAATGACTGATCTTGTTCAACAACATTGAATTTCCTAACTTGAATTTGGCCAACAAAGTTGAATGTGCAAACTTTATCCCTAGTGCAAACCCTTTGATGTTAGTAGAGTTACAGCAGGCATGAGCTGGATAGAATATCCATAATCCGCTGTTAAAACCAAGTATTATTGTTCTGCACAAATCCCAGACAGATGACAGTTATTGTCTGCCTCTGCAAAAAGTAGCTTGAGATGTGTGGTGCAAAATTTCAAATAAGGATTGCAAGATTTAATAATGCCAGAAGCTAAGTGCCCCTACTTCTCCTCAGTTAATCCCATTATTCCTAAGGGATCCTGTTTCATGCTCAGAGAGAAGGTTGCAACACGGTCCCCTAATGTGGGACCAGTCCAGCTTCTTTTTGCACTGTATGTTAAATCAAATGGGGGTGGAGAAGACAGAGTTGGAAGATGACAGCTCATGGCACGGATTCTGTGGCGCAGGAGATGTGGTTATAACCTCCTTGCCTACCACACGACAGGGGAGCTCTGTGAACGCTGCTCTCTGTGGCCGTGCTCCAGCAGCCACCCAGGAATCCGAGCCTGAGTGCTGGGACATCTCAGCGTCCTGCCAGGGGCTATGGAATGGCTGGAATCGCCCACCACAGTCAGCCCACAGAGCAGACGTGCTTCAGGCGCTGGTCACATGCAGGATGTCGCCAGGGGCTCAGAGTGTCACTTCACCCATTTGCAGCCACTGCTAAGAGACGAGGGTCTGACCCTGTAAACAGAACCAAATAGCAACGCAGCTTTTGTTTCCTTACTCAAGTTTAACATTCAACTTGTTTGCTAAAAATAATCACATAGTAAATTCAAATCTGCTTTCATTAGAGCAATTTTACATTAATTAAATAATTTCACATGACTGATTTATCTGCAACAAACAAGTCATTTTATTGTCAGTGTACCAGCATTTATCACAGCCCTTGTTTCACTATGCACAGAGGTTAACAATGCTGGAATACATATTGCACTTGTAAAAGAGATGATATACCTACATCCTCATGGGAACAAGTGATTAGAGAACCATGCAGATTAGGACCAAGGTCAATACTTGGGGCTTGTCCAGGTTTTTGCTGAGACACCTTCTAAAGCTCTTTGCTGATAGAAGAGGACTCCTCTGAAGTGCAGATAAACTAGAGAAAAAGGGAAGAAGTGTACTCTTTTTGGACACAGTCTTCTCTCAGACAGACACAAGACAATAGAGAGCCAACCTGTACAGGCAGGAGCCTGGCATTTGTTCTGCTTTCTGTGCCTCCAACAAAAACACAACAGGTAATATTAACTGCAGCGTTTATACCTGTGCTTAGTTTGGTATTCAGTTTAAGACTGCTAGTGGGGCAGAGCATTTTCAAAGGCAGAAGTCTTCATACAGGTTTGGGGGAAGGACTCAAACAATTTTACAAAAACTAGATTTAGAACATCAAGTCTCCTGTCTCCCATCCAGTTTATGCATAAATTTAGATTTAATTTCAAAATATATAGTGATGCAAAATCAAATCTAACACCAAAGCCAGTTGTTTGGTTTTTTTCTTGTTTGTTTTTCTCCCTTATGATGCAGTTCAAACCATAAATTCTTATTCTTTTAGTTGGAGAGTGCTGGTAGCTCAAAAGTTTTCAAAGACAAAAAAAAAAAAGTGAAAAAGAGTGGTTCTGATTCCAAGAAAAATTTTCAGAACATTTTGTTTCTTGGCTTCTTTTATTTGGGGTGCACATTTTGGGTGAATGTCTGGATTTCCCATTCCTGCCAACACATTGCAGTTAGGCCTCCTGCAAAGTACTGAAGCAAAGATTTTTCAAAAATCTTTTGGCCTAGCCCTATTTGCAGTAT